AGGACGTCAGGAGATGGACAGGACACATGTTGATGATCTCAAACCTTTTATGTTTGGGGCACCACTGGAGTAGCCCTTGGCATAGCTGTTGCTCCTGGCACTTCCAACATAGGGAAGGCAACAGGGTGACATATGATTTTCTCATGCACTCTCACAGGTTAGTTGTCTGCACTGATATTATTCATTGCGGGACTACCACCTTGTATTTTCAGTGATCCTGAAATATTCTTTCATTACCTCTTTTCTACCATATTTCCCCCAGTGGCCACAACATTTAAAGTGGTACAACTAGAATTGGAATAGACACAGGGGAGTGCTACTAAGCTAACACATACATATCATAATAACCTTCTTAAAGCAGTCCTCTAAAAGTTTTCTACACTATTTATATATGTTACTATTGGGAAAGTTCAATTTTTAAAAAGATAAGCTACACATTACATTGCCTCCTTATTGCCTAAGCTTACAAGGGCCTTCAGTAGACAACCATGAGTCTAACCAATGACCAATAAATAGGTAGTATATAGAGAGATATTTCTCTCTTCCCGCGATAAAAAGAGAAATGAGAGTTGAGAACTCAGTAAAATAGTTATAGAAAAAAAACTGTTGCATGGGACACTTTGGATGACTTCATGGCAGTACAAGTGACAGGGTTATAGTTTGCTATTACATGAAGATGTAGATTTTTATTTAAATCACACGATTAAAAAAAATTGAGCTAGGATCACCACCATTTTCTTCTTGTAAGTAATACTGATAAAGTCTCTGGAAAAACTCTGGAACCTGGAAGATATGTCACAGACAAATCTGAAAATACAGTAAAAACTTGACATTGGCGGCTTGTATGATCTATTCTGACAATAGCCAAGTGTGTCCTTTCCCACCACCTAGTCTTACTCCTTCCTTTCTTTTCTCTATCAGAGGCCACTACTTCCACGGAAGGAAGTGGAACTACCCAAGCAGGACTTGTAAGAGGTGTGTTTTATTTTAAACTGAATCGCTAGGGTTTTGAATCAAATCCCTGTTTGTGTGGTGGAATAAGCACTTGAGTGGGAAGGTGGGTGAAGGAAATAGGCCTGTATTTCCTCTGGGAACACAGCATGCCAGAGTCACAAACTTAGATAAGCCTGAAAACCATATTCTCATATTCCCCATCTAGATTGCAAGGCCCAGGTCTACAGAGTTAGTTCTTTGATTGGCAGGTATGCGGCCACCCTGTGGCCCTCCTCCTGCCTATCAAGGCCTCAACCTTTATATATGCTTGGACATTTTCTTATAGCCTTTACTAACATCTGTCACTTTGACTTATCCTGTTTGTTGATCACTGTTGGTCTCCAGCTGCTAGAATGTAAGCCACATTAGGGGAGGGATCTTTGAATATTCTGTTCACTGATATATTCAAATGCCTAAAATATTATTACACAGAAAAGATGCTTAATAAATATTTGTGGAATCATGAAATGTGTATTTATTTTGAAGCTCACACTACTTGCTTTAATAGGTACCACAACACTTTCACCTGGAGCCAGCAACAGTTCACAGAAAACTAAGCCAGGTAGGGTCACTAAGTAAATTCACCATAGGAGAGTATTAGAGTCACACATTTCTACTTTAAACCTTGCAGTGTCAAAAGCCTTCATGTAATTGATGATGAACTTTTACAAAGATGAAGCATCATCTGCCTTTTTCTTCCTTTAGGCACCTCTGTCACACCTGGGAGTCCAGGGACTGGAAGTGGGACAGGTGAGGGTGACATAAGACCTCCTTTCTCTTTCCCTGGCGCCAAAAAAAAGAGGAAACATCAGTAGCTACAATGATCCACAGGTGGGGCAGGGAAGGACATTGTGGAAAGTTATGGACAGTTAGTTAACTTCCCTCTGAAACAGAGATCCTAAGGATAGGTCTTCTGGTCATTCAAGGACACACAGCTACTTCAGTACTGAAGAGGGACCTAATGCTTTGCTGATGGCTTTATCTTTCTCATTTTTAGGTGCTACACAGAAATTCACTAGTATGATCATTATATCTGGGGTTCCCACAAGATAGGTTCACAAGAATAATCTCCATATTTAAGCCCAGTATCATTATGTCTCCACAGATACAATATCAACATAATTCTTCTCTCATATCTCAAATCCTCATTCCTCACCTTTCACCATTTTCTTCCTTCAGAGGCCACAACATCAACAGAAGGCAGTGGCACATCTGGAACTGGATTCAGAACTGGTAAGAAAGAGTTTCCCCAGTTGGGGTTTACCATTAATGATGGCTCTTCTTAGCCTGGCCGCTGGGAGGGGTGCTTTCTTGCAGAGTGGTTCTCATTTGCTTCCAGTTCTTCTTAGATTTACCATATTTTGGAAAACTCTCAATATTGGCTTCCCGTCTTACAGGTGTAACTTTGTAAGGAAAGGCTGGTGGTGAAATTAGTATGAGAGATTTATCTTGTGATGGCATAGACATCACTAGGATGTCAGTGTGAGATGAGATATATTATGTATCTGAGGAAAGGGAAGAAGCAATGTGAACTCTTAAACAGGCATGTCCTATGAAAAGGGTTCACGCTCAAAATGCCAATAATAATATCAATATTTTTCTGGGACATTGAACTACTTTTCTGGCTATCCTTGAATGGTAGGCACCACTGTGATGATGCGACCTGAACACCTATTTAGGATAAAGGCCCCCCCCTTTAACCTTATATGAATGGATGGATTTTTGGGACAGTTTCTCATTCTGAGAACATTAAAGTTTTTATTGCTTTCTTAATGATATTGGCCATAGCAAAACCAGATTCTCACCTCATCAGGAAGTAGAGACAGGACCCTTTGCTTTAACAAAGATACACCTAGAGCCCTTCTGGAGGTAGGACATCAGGAGATGGACAGGACACATGTTGATGAACTCAAACCTTTTGTGTTTCGGGCACCACTGGAATAGCCCTTGACACAGCTCTTGCTCCTGGCACTTCCAACATAGGGGAGGCAACAGGGTGACATAGGATTTTCTCATGCCCTCTCACAGGTTAGTTGTCTGCACTGATATTATTCATTGGGGAACTACCACCATGTATTATCAGTGATCCTGGAACATTCTTTAATTACCTCTTTTCCACCCTATTTCCACCAGTGGCCACAACATTCAAAGTGGCACAACTAGAATTGTGCTACAGGGGAGTGCTGCTAAGCTAACACCTACATTTCATGATAACCTTCTTAAAGCAGTCTTCCAAAAATTTAAGACACTATTTATATATGTTAAGTTGTGAAAGTTCAGGTTTTCAAAAGATAAGCTAGACATTACATTGCCACCTTATTGCCTGAGCTTACAAGGGCCTTCAGTAGACAACCATGAGTCTAAACAATGACAAATAAATAGGTAGTATATAGAGAGGTATTTCTCTCTTCCCACTATAAAAAGTGACATGATAGGTGAGAACTCAGTAAAATGGTCATAGAAAAAAAATGTTATGTGGGGCACATAAGGATAATTCTTATCACTAAAAGTCACAGGGTTATAGTTTGGTATTACATGAAGATGTAAATTTTTATTTAAATCATGTGGTGAAAAAACAATTGAGCTAGGACCACCACTATTTTCTTCTTGTAAGTAATACTGATAAAATCTCTGGAAAACCTCTGGAACCTGGAAGATATGTCACAGGCAATTCTGAAAATACAGTAAAAACTTGACATTGGCAGCTTGTAAGATCTATTCTGACTATAGCCAAGTGTGTACTTTCCCACCAACTAGTCTTACTCCTCCCCTTCTTTTCTCTATCAGAGGCCACTACTTCCACTGAAGGAAGTGGGACTACCCAAGCAGGACTTGTAGGAGGTGAGTTTTATTTTAAACTGAATCTCTGGGGTTTTGAATCAAATCCCTGTTTGTGTGTAGAGTAAACACATAAGTGGGAAGGTGGGTGAAGAAAATGGGCCTGTATTTCCTCTGGGAACACAGCATGCCAGAGTCACATACTTAGATAAGCCTGAAAACCATATTCTCATATTTCCCCATCTAAATTACAATGAACAGGCCTACAGAGCTAGTTCTTTGATTGGCAGGTATGCGGCCACCCTGTGGCCCTGCTCCTACCTTTCAAGGCCCCAACCTTTATATATGGTTGGACATTTTCTTATAGCCTTTACTAACATCTGTCACTTTGAATTAATCATGTTTGTTCATCACTGTTGGTCTCCAGCTGCTAGAATGTAAGCCACATTAGGGGAGGGTTCTTTCAATATTCTGCTGACTGATATATCCAAACGCCTAAAACATTATTACACAGAAAAGATGCTTAATAAATATTTGTGGAATCATGAAATGTGTATTTATTTTGAAGCTCACACTACTTGCTTTAATAGGTACCACAACACTTTCACCTGGAGCCAGCAGCAGTTCACAGAAAACCAAGCCAGGTAGGGCCACTAAGGAAATTCACCATAGGAGAGTATTAGAGTCACACATTTCTACTTTAAACCTTGCAGTGTCAAAAGCCTTCAGGTAATTGATGACAAACTTTTACAAAGATGAAGCATCATCTGCCTTTTTCTTCCTTTAGGCACCTCTGTCACACCTGGGAGTCCAGGGACTGGAAGTGAAACAGGTGAGGGTGACATAAGACCTCCTTTCTCTTTCGCTGGCATCAATAAAATAGGAAACTCCAGTAGCAACAATGATCCGTAGGTGGGGCAGGGAAGGACATTGTGGAAAGTTATGGACAGTTAGTTATGTTCCCTCTGAAACAGAGATCCAAAGGATAGGTCTTCTGATCATTCAAGGACACACAGCTGCTCCAGTACTGAAGAGGGAGCTAATGCTCCGTTGATGCCTTTATATTTCTCATCTTTAGGTGCTACACAGGAATTCCCCAGGACAACCATTTTACCTGGGAGTTCCCACACAGGTAGGTTAACACGAAGAAATCTCCATATTTGAAACCATAATATAGATATTAGGTCTGCTCTGATAAAATATCGAATAATCCTTTTCCTAATATTCCAATTCCCCTGACCTCACCCTGCACTAATTTCTTCCATCAGAGGCCACAACGTTAACAGAAAGCAGTGGCACTTCTGGAACTGGATTCAGAGGCGGTGAGTAAGCGCTCCTGCAGCTGGGACTTTAATATTAACTGTGATTATTGTTACCCTGGCCTGCTGGGAGGTGTGCTTTCCGCAGAGTGGATCACACATGCTGCCAGTTCTTAGATGTAACATATTGTGGAAAAGCTCTCAACACTGGCTTCTAGTTGTTCCAGTTGTAACTTTCTAAAGTGGGGCTGGTGTTAGAATCAATATGAGAAGTTTATCCTGTGATGGCATACACATCACTAAGATGTTAGGAGAAGCTGAGAAATATTATGTATCTGAGAAGGAGCCAAAACAATGAGAACTCTTAAACAGGCCTATCGAGTGAAATTCTCTAGGCCAACTATTATACCTGGGAGTTCCCACACAGGTAGGGTAACAAGAAGAAATCTTCATATTTAACCCCATACTGTAGTTTGTATTCTTGTTCTGATCTAGTATGTCAATAATTTTTTCTGTAATATCCCTAATCCTCTGACCTTACCATTCATCATTTCTTCCTTCAGCTGGCACTCCTGGAACAGGATCCAGACCTGGTGAGAATTGTACCTCTCAGTTGGGGTTTACCATTAATTATGACTCTCCACATCCTCCCATTTTGGAGGTGTTCTTTCCTGCAGGGTAGTTTGTATTTACTCAAAATTTTCTTTGATTTAACACATTTTTAATACACTTTAAATGCCTGCTCATGCCTCACAGCTGTAACTTCCTTATGAATGGCTATTGGTGAAATCCCTGTAAGAGGTTTCCTCTTTGATGGCATATACATCACCAAGATGATAGAAGACCTGAGAAATGTTCTATATGTGGGTAGAAGAGAAAGCAATGTGAACTCTGAAGCCTATGCTACATATAGGTCCTCTTGCTCAAAAGTGCAATAATGATAGTCAATATTTTTTACACACTCAAATAGTTTTCTGGTTTTCCTCTCACATTAGGCGCCACTGCAATGCCACAAGGCCAATCAACTGGGAGTGTGACAGGTGAGCCTGGGAGAAACCCAGCTTTTGTCTTCATTTTAAGAGAATGGAATGTCTGTAGAGAGTGCCTTACATTGGAAATATTGCAATTTTTACTACTTTCTTAGTGATATAGATTATAGGAAAGGTATATTACTGTCAACTCATCAGGAAGTAGTGAAAGGGCCCTTTGATATAACAAAGATACACTTAGATTCCTTCTAGAGGCAGGTCTTTAGGAGCTGTATAGGAGTCACCAAGAGTCGCCATTGAAATCTCAGAACTTTTGGGTTTCAGGCACCACTGGACCAGTTGTTGGCACAACTGTTGCACCTGGCAGTTCCAACACAGGTAAGTCAACAAGGTGGCAGGGAATCTTTCAGATGAGATTTCTCTTCTATTGTTATCCTGTGTAGCAGAACTACCGTACCTTTCTGTGGTCCTCAAATAATTTTCAATGATCTCTAACCTCTTTTCCTCTATAGTGGAGGATAGGGCTTCTGTAGAAGATGGTGGAATAACAAGAGGTTGTTTGTTTGTTTTTTCCCTTCTCTTAGAAACCACAACTTCCACAGGAGGTAGTAAGGCTACGCATGGAAGATTGCCAGGAGGTAAGCTTCTTAGTCCAAAGCCTAGGAAATTGATGACAAACTTTTACAAAGATTAAGCATCATCTGCCTTTTTCTTCCTTTAGGCACCTCTGTCACACCTGGGAGTCCAGGGACTGGAAGTGGAACAGGTGAGGGTGACATAAGACCTCCTTTCTTTTTCACTAGGATCTTGGAAAAGGGAACTCCAGTAGCAACAATGATCCATAGGTGGGCAAGGAAGGACATTGGGTAAGGTTATGGACAGTTAGGTTCCCTCTGAAACAGAGATCCTAAGAAAAGGTCTTCTGGTCATTCAATGACACACAGCTGCTTCAGTGCTGAAGAGGGAGCTAATGCTGTGTTGATGGCTTTATCTTTCTCATTTTAAAGTCCTACACAGGAATTCACTAGGAAAATCATTATATCTGGGGGTTCCCACGCAGATAGGTTCACAAGAAGAAATCTCAACATTTAAACCCAATATCATTATGTCTCCACTGATAAAATATCAACATAATTCTTCTCTCATATCCCAAATCCTCATTCCTCACCCTTCACCATTTTCCTCTTTCAGAGGCTACAACTTCAACAGAAGGCAGTGGCACATCTGGAAATGGATTGAGAACAGGTGAGGAAAAGTTTCCGCAGTTGGGATTTACCATTAATGATGGCTCTGCTTAGCCAGGCTGCTGGGAGGGGTGCTTTCCTGCAGAATGGTTCTCATTTGCTTCCAGTTCTTAGATTTACAATATTTTGGAAAACTCTCAATATTAGCTTCCAGTCTTACAGGTGTAACTATGTAAGGAAAGGCTGGTGGTCAAATCAGTATGAGAGATTAAACTTGTGATGGCACAGACATCACTAGGATGTCAGTGTGAGATGAGAAATATTATCTATATGAGGAGAGGGAAAAGCAATGTGAACTCTTAAACAGGCGTATCCTATGCACAGGGGTTCTTGCTCAAAATGCCAATAATTATATCAATAGTTTTCTGGGACATTGAAATATTTTCCTGTTTATCCTTGTATGGTAGGCACCACTGTGAGGATGAGAGATGAATGTAGGAGAAAGGCCCCTCTTTAACCATATTGACTGAATGGAATTTCTGGGACAGTTTCTCATGCTGAGAACATTACTGTTTTTATTGCTTTCTTACTGATGTTGGTCATATTAAAACCAGATTCTCACCTCATCAGGAAGTAGAGACAGGGCCCTTTGCTATAACAAAGATACACCTAGATCCCTTCTGGAGGGAGGACGTCAGGAGATGGACAGGACACCTGTTGATGATCTGAAACCTTTTATGTTTCGGGCACCACTGGAATAGCCCTTGGAACAGCTGTTGCTCCTGGCACTTCCAAATAGGGAAGGCAACAGGGTGACATAGGATTTTCTCATGCACTCTCACAGGTTAGTTGTCTGCACTGATATTATTCATTGCGGGACTATCACCATGTATTTTCAATGATCCTGAAATATTCTTTCATTACCTCTTTTCTACCCTATTTCCCCCAGTAGCCACAACATTCAAAGTGGCACAACTAGAATTGGAATAGACACAGGGGAGTGCTACTAAGCTAACACCTACATATCATAATAACCTTCTTAAAGCAGTCTTCTAAAAGTTCTACACTATTTATATATGTTACTGTTGGGAAAGTTCAGATTTTAAAAAGATAAGCTACACATTACATTGCCTCCTTATTGCCTAAGCTTACAAGGGCCTTCAGTAGACAACCATGAGTCTAACCAATGACCAATAAATAGGTAGCATATAGAGAGATATTTCTCTCTTCCTGCTATAAAAGGAGACTTGATAGTTGAGAACTCAGTAAAATAGTTATAGAAAAAAAATGTTGCATGGGGCACTTTGGATGACTTCTTGGCAGTAAAAGTGATAGGGATGTAGTTTGCTATTACATGAAGATGTATATTTTTATTTAAATC